GATGATATAGTAAATTTGCTCCACCCTCTCCGCAAAACCCCATATGGACTAAATTATTCTTCATAAATAGCAATTAACTTGCCAACTGGAAGAGGCTTTGTGAACATGTAAGTAGGATTGTCTCTAGTGTTGATCTTCTGAATAGAGATTTTTTTATTCAGCAATGGTTTTCCGGATAAAATGATACTTGATGTCAATATGCTTCGTCCTCACATGATACATTTGGTCTTTAGTCAAGTGAATGGCACTTTGACTACCACAAAAACTAGTAATACTACCTTGGTATAAACTGAGTTCAACAAATAGACCCTTCAACTATAAGGCTTCTTTGATAGTCTCGGTCACTACCATATATTCTGCTTCAATAATAGATAAAGCTACTACATGTTGTAATGTAGCTTTCCAGCTGATAGCGCGACCACAAATGCAAAATACATAGCTTGTTAGTGATCTTCTTTTATCAAGATCACCTGCATAATCTGAGTCTACAAAACAAACCAAAGAGTTAGTATTTATCTCAAACTCCAAACATGTGTTTGAAGTACCTTGCAAGTATCTGAGAATCTATTTCACAGCATGCCAATGTGTTTTACTAGGTCAAGCCATATGTTGGCTCACTACACTTACTGCTTGGGAAATATCTGGACGTGTGCACACCATTACATGCATAATACTGTCGACTACACTGGAATAAGGTACCTATGCCATATACCTCTCTTCTTTCTCTGATTACGGTGACTGAGCAGCTAATAACTTAAAATGAGCAGCAAGAGGGGTACTAACTGGTTTAGCATCTTTCATGCCAAACCTCTCCAAAACTTTCTCCAAGTACTTCTTATGGGTCAGGAATAGCCTGTTGGCTCCTCGGTCTCTTTTGATCTCCATGCCAAGAATTTTCTTTGATGCTCCCAGATCTTTCATCTCAAATTCACTTTCAAGCTGACTTTTCAAATTATGAATTTATGTCAAATCCTTTGTAGCAATGAGCATGTCATCAACATATAGTAATAAGTACACAAATGGACCATCATTTAACTTTCGAAATTAAACACAACTGTCATACATGCTCCTCGAATAACCATGACCCAATATAAAGAAATCAAACCTTGTGTACCATTGTCTTGGAGAATGATTTAATCCGTACAAGGATTTCTTCAACAAGCAAACATGATCTTCTTTTCCTTCAATTTCAAATCCTTCGGGTTGATGCATGTATATTTGTTCCTCAAGTTCTCCATGTAAGAAAGTTGTCTTAACATCAAGCTGTTCTAATTCCAAATCATACATGGCAACTAAGGCAAGCAAGACACGAATAGAGCTATGTTTAACAACATGTGAGAAAATATCATTATGATCAACTCCTTGTACCGGATAGGCCTTTGCAATGAATCGTGCCTTATACTTTGCATCTTCAACCCCTGGAATGCCATTTTTTTTCTTGAATACCCATTTGCAGGCAACAATTCTCTTTCTTGATGGCGGCTTCACAAGAGACCAAGTACCATTCTTATGGAGAGACTCAATTTGTTCATTCATTGCAATCAGCCACTTGGCTGAATCAGCACCAGAAACTGCTTCTGAATATTTTGATGGTTCTCCAATTTCTTTAGTTTCCTGTGCAACTGAAAAAGCAAATGCAACATAATCTCCAAACCTTAATGGTTGTTTACTTTCTCTTCTTGGTCTATGTTTGGCTATAAAATATTCATCTTCTGCCGATTCGACTTGAGGAGTCTCAACTTTAGGAATTTCAGCTTCTGGATCAACTTCAGAAGTTTCAACTGTATTTTGCTCCAAAGTTGGTGAGCTTGGCTTAGAAGGAATGTCAATCTCAACCTCCACATGTTTCTTTATACTCTTCCCTTTATCTGTATTACAGAACTAGAAGACTCTTTTCTGGAATGTAACATAGAGGATTCATCAAAGGTTACATTTCTAATTAAAAATTTTGGTGTCATGGGATCAGGATACCATAGTCGGTATCCTTTCACCCTAGATGCATACCCAAGTAAAATGCATATTTTAGCCCTTGGCTCTAATTTTCCATCATTTACATGCATGTATGCAGGGCAACCAAATATCTTTAAATCATAATAATTAGCAGGAGTACCTGATCGCATTTTCTCTGGAATCTTAAAGTTCAAAGGTGTAGAAGGAGCACGGTTGACAATATAACAAGCTGTAGAGATAGCTTCTTCCCAAAAGGCGTTTGTCAACCAAGCATTTGAAATCATGCAGTGAGCCCTTTTCAAAAGAGTTATATTCATCTTTTATGCTACACCATTTTGTTGAGGTGTCATTCTCACAGTACGGTGTCGGGCAATTCCTTCATTCTTGCAAAATTCGTTAAATTCATCATTACAAAATTCCAAGTCATTATCTGTTCTAATCCGCTTAACCTGTTTTCTGTTTGATTCTCAATCAAAACTTTCTATTGTTTGTAAGTTAAGAAAATATCACTTTTATTTTTCAGGAAATAAACCCAAACTTTCCTCGAATAATTATCAATGAAAGTTAACATATACCTAGCACCACCTTTTGACGGGGTACATGAAGGACCCCAATGATATAAATGAATGTAATCTAAAGTACCTTTTGTTCTATAAATTGCTGGAGATTTGAAGGTGACTCTTTTCTGCTTCAGGAACACGCAGTATTCACAGAACTCCATGTTTTCAGTACTTTGGCCACACAAGAGACCTCTTTTGCTGATGATGGAAAGAGATTTTTCGCTCATATGCCCCAATCACATATGCCACAATTTGTGATGTCAGAACCGGATTTATATGATGTTGAAATTGCAGCAACATCTGTAACAGTAGATCCCAATAGAGTATACAACGTACCAGATCTGCGTGCTTTCATGATCACAAGAGCACCATGAGAAATTTTCAGACTCTACCTTCACCTGTGTACTTGCACCCAAGAGATTCTAGAGTGCCCAAAGAGATGACATTTTTCTTCAAGACAGGAACATGTCTAACATCGGTGAAAGTTCTCACCACACCATCGTGCATTTTGATTCGGACTGTTGCTTTTCCAATAACTTTGCAGGCAGCATTGTTTCCCATCAAAACAGCTCCACCTCCAATAGATTCATATGTGGTAAATAAATCCCGATTGGGACACATATGATAAGAACAACCCGAATCTAAAATACACTCATTGTTAGATTTAAAGCTATTATTAGTTGCAAAAAAATAGTTCATTGAGTCTCATCAGCAACTACACTTGCTTCGGCAATATCAGTATTTTTGTGCTCATTTTTCTTTTCTGTATGCTTTTCTTTGTTTTTCAATATAAAGCATTCAGAAATAATGTGACCTTTCTTATAACAATATTTACACATGACATTTCTGTATCTGGATTTTGACCTTGATTTAGGTCTCTCACTACTTGAATCTTTCTTATTGGATCTACCTCTTATGAACAAGCCTTCCCCTTGGTTCCCACTAGTTTTTCCAGTAATATCTCTATCTATTTATTTTTTTGACTTCAAAATAGATTTGATATCTTTATAAGAGATATTTTCCTTTCCATAAAGCATAATATCTCTTGTATGTTTAAATGACTGGGGTAAGGAAACAAGCGATAACACAGCTTGATCCTCATCTTTGATTTCAGCATCTATGTTACTTAAATCTATAAGAAGAGAATCAAAAGTATCAAGATGTGTAAGTATAGAGGTACCTTCAGCCATACGAAAAGTGTAGAGTTTTTGTTTTAGGTAAAGCCTATTTCTACTGTTCTTTTAATATACAAGGTTTTCAGCTTTTTCCATATGCCTTTGGCTGAGCTTTCTGTAGCAACTTCACGCAAAACTTCATTTGAGAGATTTAAAATAATACTTGCTTTTGTCTTTTTGTCAATGACGGCAAACTCCTCGTCCGTCATTTTATCTGGCTTCTTCTCCTTTCCTTGCAGTGCCAAATCTAAGTAATCCTGAATTAGGATAGCTTCCATCTTTAATTGCCACATTCTGAAGTTTTCACTTCGATCAAATTTCTCAATATAAATCTTTGTTAGAGTCATATTGACTACTGAAACAAACCCGGTTAGATCTGGCTCCGATACCAATTTGTTAGGATCGGAAAAACGAGTAGTGCGAAATTTAGCCAAACAATATTATAATGACAATAACAAAGACAATGCAAGTTGATAACTACGATAATTAAAGCATATAAAGAAGACACAAATTTAATGTGGTTCAGTCAAAGTGACCTACGTCCACAAGCAGAGAGGAGCAAATTCACTATACCAATAAGGGTACAAAATTAGAGTGAATACTCTAATTAATCCCACATATCCCCGAAAGAGTAACCTCACAAGATCACTCCAAAGAAAGGGGATCACAAAAGTATTTCCCAACACTCAACTCTCTTACAAACAACTCTCAATAAAGGAGGAGAGGAAGAACAAGAAATGAAGACTCAAATCTTGTTGGTGTATTGAAAATGAACTAATGGGCTTTCCTTTTATAGGCAAAAAAACCTTGGCCTCTAAGCCGTAAAAGAAAAGAAATAACTTTTACAAATGATATCCACCACACAATGTAATACTTTGGTCCCAAATAATGTTGCCAACAAAGTCTACTTTGCAAATAGGCTTATGCTTAATTATGTGAGATGGACTCCACTAACCAAAATATTGGTCATATTACACAAAGTCCTTATCGTCTGCCACAATTAATCTATCAGAATCCTAAAACAAATGATAGGTAGCTAACTAAAACTTACTAGGAGAGACATAATTGACTGCATTAATTTCTAAAGTTATATTATCCATGGAATTTAAAGAACCTAAAGAAGCGTGAGTCATGCCTATCATTTAGAGCAAAATCAAACAAGCAATACGAGTTAAATTTCAGTGAAAACGAGGGCCGAATTATAAGTAGAGAAAAAAATTCATTGAAACTGGTGGCTGAGAGCATATTTCTGGAGTTATCCATGCATTCTTACCTAGTTTTGGAGCATGCAAAGGAATGACAAAGATATTGAAAGTCTTTTTGTTAATCTCTTAGGAATGTAATGTAATGGAAAGGAATGGCTTTGTTTCTCTTCAAACGCTAGTGTTTGATACCTAAGAGTTTGAATTGTTGTACAGTAAAAAAATTGAGCAAATTACATATTTGAAGGAGAAGTTTTAGCTTTAGTTCTTCGAGAGAATTTGTACATTATCATCCTAGCAATCTTATAGAACCAAAAAGCACTAACAAGTTGCAGTCCGATAGACATGACCTGGAAAATTGATAAAATATAATTATCACTAAATTTGTTGGTTTAAAGTCGACTTTTGTCAAATAAAAGAAATTAATTGAAGTCCATTAGATTAATTACCTTAATGAGGATTGGATTATCAGAAGAAAGCGTCACAAAGGTAAGATATGGCCCCCCTATCATCCTAGCACTGCTGAAAATAACTGCAAATAATACCTGCAAAAGAGATCAATTTAATTAAGATCAGAATTATTAATATCATATAAAACAAAATCAATAACATAATTTAATTCCCTTTAAATTGGAAAGAAAATAAATTAGAACTCAAAAAGCTAACATCAGCAGTAAGATTAAGGTCGGTGTCTTTGTATCCAAGCTCTTTGAGAATCTCCCACAAGTGTAGGAATGGACCGGAAATCTCTGTCAACAATAATGCTGCTATAATTTCTGAACCACACTGCATATCACAAACAAACTCACGTATTTAGTAGTGATTTTTTGGCCCTTTTTTTGTGGTCCAAAATAAGTGATTTTTTCAGATTTCAAGAATGAATTAATTATTTTTTTCCCTACATTGTCCTTGGAGTAAATAGTGTTGGAGTATGTGTTAGGAGTGTTTATGTGAGATAGTAAAGGTTAATGTCACGACCCAATACCCATCCGGTCGTGATGGCGCCTCTCGTGAAGACAAGGCCAGCCAACAGAACAATCAACACAGCTTTTGACAATTTCTTAGCATAACAGATTTAAACCATAGATACTAATTAATCATAAGTGCGGAAATAAACGTAACATAACGGGGAAAAACCATCCCAACCTCAGCCCGATGATCGGGGTGTCACAAGTCACGAGCTACTACAGAGTTGGTGAAAATACTACAAGTCTGGAAATATAGTCTGAAGATGAATAAAATATGCAGAAGATAAGGAAGAAAACGGGACTGTGGACGTCGACAGCTACCTCGTCTCTCCTAGTCCGCCTGGTCTGGAAGGAAATCAGCGCTCAGGTACGAACTCAGTTGTGCCTGTCTCTGCACACATGGTGCAGGAAGTAATGTGAGTACTCCGACCCACTGAGTAATAAAATTAAATAACGACTGAGAACATAAAATCCCACAAGGGCACAAATAATGCTATCTCAAGCACCAACATCAGATAAACAGTAGAAACCAGTGAAATATAGGAAGAAAATCTCTTTGAAAACAATTAATAAAACAAGTATGCTCAAGTATGGTCAGCCATTGTTACCTGACCGGTCAGCCATTGTTACCTGACCAAACGCGTATTACAGTGCCATTGTTACCACTGCTCAGTCATTGTTACCTGACTGGTCAGTCATTGTTACCTGACCAAACGCGTATAACATTGTCATTGTTACCACTGTTCAATATTTAATCACTCTAGATGGATACTCGCGCTCACTATGGGTGTGCAGACTCCGGAGGGGCTCCTACAGCCCAAGCGCTATCAACAAGGCCTGAAAGCCTGAACAGTATCAATACGAGGCCTGAACCCTCACTCATCATGCCCTCACATAAGGCCCTCGGCCTCAATCAATCCAGAAATAGTCAACAGCCCTTCGGGCAACAGTAAAGCAATAATACTCAGCTCAAACAATAGTTCAAATATCAGTTTAAAACTCCAAGTTTGAGTAAATATGGCTGAGTTCAAGAAACAGTATAAATCACATGGACTGAGTTCAAATAATATTTCAAACAGTGAGGAAAACAGTGATGATAGTTCATAAAGAGTTCAAACAGTCGGCAATAAGCCCCAAATATGGCAATAAGCCCAAATCATAGTGAAAACAATAAGTCATTGCTAATACGCGGTAAAATATCATCCGGACTGGACCAAGTCACAGTCCCCAATAGTAAATGACCCCGCGCTCGTCATGGAACGCGTGTCTCATCTCAACATAGCACCAAGTTGTGCAAATCCGGGGTTTCAAACCCTCAGGACGTCATTCAAAATCATTACTGACCTCTAGCCGGTTAAAGTCTAGCTCGCTATGCCTTTTCCCCTCGAATCGACCTCCTCGCGCGTCGAATCTGATCAAAACCACAAGAAATACATCACAATAGGCTAATGGGTCATAACCTAATCGAAAAGACTCGAAAAATATCAAAAATCACGAAGTTGGCAAAACCCGAGCCCCGGGCCCACTTCTCGAAAAATTACGAAATTCACATCTCCGGATTCCTCGTCTCGCCACGAGTCTATACATATCAAAATCATCAAAATGGGGGTCCATTTGACCCCTCAAATCCCTATTTTAAACTCTCTTAAATTCAAGCCCTAAACCACCATTTTTTGACCTTTGACTCCTTGATTATTCAGTCCAAATTCATGTTTATACACCATAAAATCAAGCTCTAAGTCCAAGAGTTCATACTGATAATAGCCCTCGAATCCCTCTTCAAAATCGCCTCAAAGCTCTCAAGGTTCGGAGTCCAAAATGCTACTCTTTCAAAAATTCGCGAGGAAGATGTTTTCACTTAACCTGCCAGTTATTTCCGCTTCTGCGGATTAATTCCCGCTTTTGCGCCTTCCGCTTATGCGGTCAACGTCCGCTCCTGCGGACCTTTCACTTAAGGCGAGTTTAATGTGCGGAGCAGCGGGGTCTGATGACCTCCCCCGGTCTGTGAGGTAGCTTGCTGCATGTAGTGGCTGAGCTGCCTGAGCCAGGCTAGTGCAACGGATAATATCTGAGCCAAAGCCTCCTGGAGCCAGGAACACAATAGGCACTGCGGGTGCCTGCACATGTGCTGCTGGAGCATCTACAGCTGGAGGCTGGTCCTGAGCCGGGGCAGCTGGTGGATCTACAGGTGCTGCCCCTCGCTGGTCTGCCCCTAGCACGACCACGACCGCATCCACAGGCCTCTAGTGCCCTCAGTAGGTGGAACCGGTGGGCGTTCCGTCTAGTCCTGTAAGCGCAGTCTCGCCATTTACGAGAGGATAGAACACAGACAAGTTTTAGTTCCCGGGGTAATCACAAACGCAACGACAAAGATTTCAGGAATGTGAAAGTATTTTCCTAAAGGGTTCTGCAGCCTCTCGAGGATAAAGTACAAGCGTCTCCGTACCGATCTGCGAGACTCCTAACTAAACCTGCTCATGACTCCGTGAGACACTAGTAACCTGAGGCTCTGATACCAACTGGTCTAGGCCAACTCTGCACCGCCTCTATCTTCTTCGGGTCGACCTGAATACCCTCGCTGGACACCATGTGCCCCAAGAAAGCAACTGAGCTGAGCCAGAACTCACACTTGGAGGACTTTGCATAAAGCTTCTCCTCTCTCAATCTCTGTAATACCACTCTCAAATGTTGTGTGTGCTCCTCCTGACTACGCGAGACACCAGGATGTCATCAATAAAACAATCACAAATGAATCCAGATACGGCCGAAATACACTGTTCATCAAGTGCATGAATGCTGCTGGGGCATTAGTCAACCCAAAGGACATAACTAGAAACTCATAGTGCCCATATCTCGTCCGGAAAGTAGTCTTCATAATATCTGAATCCCTAATCTTCAGCTGGTGATAGCCTGAACGGAGGTCAATCTTGGAGAATACCCTTGCCCCCTGGAGCTGGTCAAACAAATCATCAATACGGGGCAGGGGATACTTGTTCTTCACTGTCACCTTGTTCAATTGCCTGTAGTCAATGCACATTCTCATTGTGCCATCCTTTTTCTTCACAAACAAGACCGGTGCACCCCACGGTAACACACTCGGACGAATGAACCCCTTATCCAGGAGCTCCTGAAGCTGATCCTTTAGTTCATTCAACTCTGCTGGTGCCATGCGATACGGAGGAATAGAAATAGGCTGAGTGCCTGGCACCGGATCAATACCAAAATCAATGTCCCTGTCCGGCGACATGCCCGACAGGTCCGCTGGACACACATCAGGGAAGTCCCTCACAACGGGAACAGAATCGAGACTAGCAGTCTCAGCTCCAACATCTCTCACAAAAGCCAAAAACGATAGACAACCTTTCCCAACCATCCGCTGTGCCTTTAGGAAGGAAATCACCCTGCTGGGAACATAGTCAGTTATACCACGCTACTCAATCCTCGGAACACCCGGAATAGCCAACGTAACTGTCTTGGCATGACAATTCAGAATAGCATGGTACGGAGATAGCCAGTCCATACCCAGAATAACATCAAAATCTACCATGCCTAACAACAACAAGTTGACTCGGGCCTCCAGACCCCCAATAGTCACCAGACAAGATCGATATACATGATCCACAATAATAGTATCACCCACCGGGGTAGATACGTGAACAGGCAAAGCAAGACACCCTCGGGTCGTACCCAGATGATGGAAAAAATATGAAGACACATAAGAGTAGGTAGAACCGGGATCAAATAAGACAGAGGCATCCCTGTGGCAGACTGAGATAATACCTGTGATAACAGCATCTGATGCAATAGCGTCTCTCCTGTCTAGGAGAGCATAGAATCGTGCCTGGCCACCGCCCGATCGGCCTCCCCCTCTGGGGCGACCCCTAGCTGCCTGACTCTCACCCCTAGCTGGCAGGGCGGGTGCTGAAGAGGATGGGCCAGAAGACGAGGGCTGACCCCTCTGCTGAGACTGACTACCACGACGCCGAGGACAATGCCTCCACATGTGCCCAACCTCCCCGCACTCATAACAGCTCCCGGGTGCTGAAGAATGGGACTGAAGGGAACCCCGCACATCAGAGTGACGGGCTGATGCACTCGGTCTAGAGGAACCCTGAACAGATGGAGCTCGTGATGAACCCTGAGCTAGAAGAGCGCTGAGAGATGGCTGGCTCTGCTGATAACCCTGATGACCTCGGCCGGAAGATGACCCACGATACTCAGAGCGAGCTGACTGAGGAGGCCTAAATGAACGACCTCTGCTCTGCTGGAACTGACCCCTAGACGGAGCACCACTGAAGCTACCAGAACCTCGAGGCCTCTTGGCCTCCCTCTCCTCTCTGTCCTGACGGCGAGCCATCTCAATATCACGAGCAATATCAACTGCATCCTCAAAGGAAATACCCAGAACTCTCTCTCGAGTCATCAGAACACGAAGGTGATAGTTAAGTCCATCTACAAACCTCTTGATCCTCTCTCTGTCGGTCGGAACTATCCACGAGGCATGACGGGCCAACTTAGAAAATCTCGCCTCATACTGGGTCACAGTCATGTCTCCCTCTCGAAGCCACTCGAACTGCCTGCGCAGCTCCTCTCTCTGAGACTGTGGTACCCACTTCTCCAAAAAGATAGTGGAGAACTCCTGCCATGACAAAGGCGCTGCACCCGCCGGCCTATGCCGCTCATACGACTCCCACCATGTGAAGGCAGCCCCAGTGAACTGAAATGCGGTGAATGCTACCCTGCTGGTCTCCAAAATCTCTGCTGTCCGAAGCATACGCTGACACTTGTCCAGAAATCCTTGGGCATCCTCGCCCTGAGCACCACTGGAAATTGGAGGCTGGAGCCTACTGAACCTCTCAAGACGACGCTGCTCATCGTCTGGCATAACTGGGACTACAAAGTCCTGAACTGGTGCGACTGGCGCAGCTGGGGTAACTGGTGCAACTAGCGCAACTGGCTGAGCTGGGACTGCTCCCGGTGTCTGCAATCCCTGAACCACCTGCACCTGTGTGCGAGCAGCGGGGGTCTGATGACCTCCCCCGGTCTGTGAGGTAGCTGCTGCAGTAGTGGCTGAGACTGCCTGAGCCAGGCTAGTGCAAACGGATAATATCTGAGCCAAAGCCTCCTGGAGGCCAGGAATCACAATAGGCACTGCTGGTGCCTGCACATGTGCTGCTGGAGCATCTACAGCTGGAGGCTGGTCCTGAGCCGGGGCAGCTGGTGGATCTACAGGTGCTGCCCTCGCTGGTCTGCCCCTAGCACGACCACGACCGCATCCACGGCCTCTAGTGCCCTCAGTAGGTGGTACCGGTGGGCGTCCGTCTAGTCCTGTAGCGCAGGTCCTCGCCATTTACGAGAGGATAGAACACAGAAGTTTAGTTCCCGGATCAACAAAATCGCACGACAAGAATTTCAGGAATGTGAAGTTTTCCTAAGGGTTCTGCAGCCTCTCGAGGATAAGTACAGACGTCTCCGTACCGATCTGCGAGACTCTACTAAACCTGCTCATGACTCGTGAGACCTAGTAACCTAGGCTCTGATACCAACTTGTCACGACCCAATACCCACCCGGTCGTGATGGCGCCTCTCGTGAAGACAAGGCCAGCCAACAGAACAATCAACACTGCTTTTGACAATTTCTTAGCATAACAGGTTTAAACCATAGATACTGATTAATCATAAGTGCGGAAATAAACGTAACATAACGGGGAAAAACCATCCCAACCTCAGCCCGATGATCGGGGTGTCACAAGTCACGAGCTACTACAGAGTTGGTGAAAATACTACACGTCTGGAAATATAGTCTGAAGATGAATAAAATATGCAGAAGATAAGGAAGAAAACGGGGCTGTGGACGTCGATAGCTACCTCGTCTCTCCTAGTCCGCCTGGTCTGGAAGGAAATCAGCGCTCAGGTACGAACTCAGCTGTGCCTGTCTCTGCACACATGGTGCAGGAAGTAATGTGAGTACTCCGATCCAGTGAGAAATAAAATTAAATAACGTCTGAGAACATAAAATCCCACAAGGGCACAAATAATGCTATCTCAAGCAGCAACATCAGATAAATAGTGGAAACCAGTGATATATAGGTTGAAAATCTCTTTGAAAACAATTAATAAAACAAGTATGCTCAAGTATGGTCAGCCAATGTTACCTGACCGGTCAACCATTGTTACCTGACCAAACGCGTATTACAGTGCCATTGTTACCACTGGTCAGTCATTGTTACCTAACTGGTCAGTCATTGTTACCTGACCAAACTCGTATAACAGTGTCATTGTTACCACTGTTCAATATTTAATCACTCTAGATGGGTACCCGCGCTCACTGTGGGTGTGCAGACTCCGGAGGGGCTCCTACAGCCCAAGCGCTATCAACAAGGCCTGAAAGCCTGAACAGTATCAATACGAGGCCTGAAAGCCTCCTCACCTCACTCATCATGTCCTCACATAAGGCCCTCGGCCTCAATCAGTCCAGAAATAGTCAACAGCCCTTCGGGCAACAGTAAAACAATAATACTCAGCTTAAACAATAGTTCAAATATCAGTTTAAAACTCCAAGTTTAAGTAAATATGGCCGAGTTCAAGAAACAGTGTAAATCACATGGACTGAGTTCAAATAATATTTCAAATAGTGAGGAAAACAGTGATGATAGTTCATAAAGAGTTCAAACAGTCGGCAATAAGCCCCAAATATGGCAATAAGCCCAAATCATAGTGAAAACAACAAGTCATTGGTAATACGCGGTAAAATATCATCCGGACTGAACCAAGTCACAGTCCCCAATAGTAAATGACCCCGCGCTCATCATGGAACGCGTGTCTCATCTCAATATAGCACCAAGTTGTGCAAATCCGGGGTTTCAAACCCGCAGGACGTCATTCAAAATCATTACTCACCTCTAGCTGGTCAAAGTCTAGCTCGCTATGCCTTTTCCCCTCGAATCGACCTCCTCGCGCGTCGAATCTAATAAAAACCACAAGAAATACATCACAATAGGCTAATGGGTCATAACCCAATCGAAAAGACTCGAAAAATATCAAAAATCACGAAGTTGGCAAAACCCGAGCCCCGGGCCCACCTCTCGAAAAATTACGAAATTCACATCTCCGGATTTCTCGTCTCGCCACGAGTTTATACATATCAAAATCATCAAAATCGGGGTCCATTTGACCCCTCAAATCCCTATTTTAAACTCTCTTAAATTCAAGCCCTAAACCACCATTTTTTGACCTTTGACTCCTTGATTATTCAGTCCAAACATGTTTATACACCATAAAATCAAGCTCTAAGTCCAAGAGTTCATACTGATAATAGCCCTCGAATCCCTCTTCAAAATCGCCTCAAAGCTCTCAAGGTTCGGAGTCCAAAATGCTACTCTTTCAAAAATTCGCGAGGAAGATGTTTTCACTTAACCTGCCAGTTATTTCCGCTTCTGCGGATTAATTCCCGCTTTTGCGCCTTCCGCTTATGCGGTCAATGTCCGCTCCTGTGGACCTTTCACTTAAGGCGACTTTCCACTTCTGCGGTCCAACTTCGCATCTGCGGGACCGCTTAAGTGACCCAATGTCCCGCTTCTGCGGAACCTGACCTGGGCTCCTATTTTCGCTCCTATGAGGCCTAGCTCGCTTCTGCGAGACCGCATCTGCGATCTACTTTTCGCAGATGCGGAAACACCTGCTGCAACCAAAAACCTGCAATTTTCCAACTTCAAATTCCTTCCGTTAGCCACCCGAAATCACCCCCGAGGCCCCCGGGACCTCAACCAAATTTACCAACACATCTTAAAACATTATTCAAACTTGTTCCAATCCTCAAAACACGTCTAACAACGCTAAAACCATTAAACCACATCGAATTCAAGCCTAAGTTTCTTCAAAACTTCCGCAATACGCATTCGATCAAAACTCGACCCAAAACATCTCCGAATGACCTGAAATTTTGCACACACATCCAAAATCACCTAACGGAGCTACTGAAACTCTCGGAATTCCATTGCGACCCTCGGATCAAAATCTCACCTACCAACCGGAATTTGCCAAAATACTAACTTCGCCAATTCAAGCCTAATTCTACACCGGACCTCCAAAACCAATTCCGATCACGCTCCTAAGTCACAAATCATCCCCCGAAGCTAACCGAATCTCCGGAAATCACATCCGAGCCCTCTAACCAACTAGTCAACTTCCGATTGACTTTTCCAAAATAATCTTTCCTTAGAGAGACTAAATGTCTCATCTCCTACCAAGACCAAACCAATCCAACTCGATTACCTCAAATACCGAATGAAGCATAGAGAAACATAATATGGGAAAAACGGGGCGGTAACTCACGTGACGACGGGCCGGGTCGTCACAGTTAATATGGTCAATTTCATTGTTAATTAATGCTAAAAGATGAATTTCTTAATCTGTGTGAAAACATCCAAAAAATCACTTATTTTGGACCGGAGGGAGTAATTATTATTTTATTCAATCATATTCTATTTTTAAATAGTAAAAAGTGATCAATATATAATGTGATTAATTAGTGTACTTGTTGGTTCGGAAATTGGGTCGTGAATGGCGAAATAGGCAAACAAATAACCATAAGATTAATTAGCATGTTTTCTCATGTTCTTTCTCTTATTACTTCCTTTTTGGTGGTCATAGCAAATCTTAATTATATTTAGCCTTTGTATCTTAAGACTAACATCTTTATGTTGCAAAATTATTGTATGGTTTTTTAGATAGGCAACGAAGTTTTAAGAATCTGTTTCCAACATAATCTTACAAGCAAAGAGGTTTTAAAAAATTGTTCCAACATAAACCTAGTTTACATGATAATGAGTTGGACGAAATTCTTGGCGAAGTAAAATTTGATAAGGAAAATAATGAATATAATGAATTGAATATCCTAAATGCAATTGTAGTGGACGAATCAAAATCAAATTTATTAATGATTTAATAAGACGATTTTTATTTGATTATCAAGTCCTAAAAATTAGAAAAATAAATAAATGACTATATTGTCAAGTGTGAAGCCATATTTTTAAAGGACATAAAAGATAAACGACATTTCGCTAAAGGTCTTCGTGCTTTTAAGATAGTATAGATTAATTTTACTTTTATAGATTCTTATCTGTAATTATCCTCTAGATGATCGACAGTGTTAATATTTTTTTTAAGGTAAACTCAAATAAGAAAACAACAACAACAACAAACAATAAAAACCCATTATAATCTCACAAGTGGAGTATGGGGAGAATAGTGTGTGCGCAGACTTTACCCCTACCTTGAGAAGGTAAAGAGGTTGTTTCCGACAGATTCTCGGCTCAAGAAAATGTGCAAAAAGATACAATAAACAAGCAGTAATATCAGCAAGATAACAAAAATTAAGAAAACAAGAAGAAATATTGAAACCAAAACAAAAGGATGATCTAATTAACTTACCCATTCATAGGCAAGCAAAGCTACAAGTCCAACAACACTCACCAAATGATGAATTAAGTTGTCAATCTTAACTTGCTTATCGAAAAGGCAACATACAAAATCATAAATAAGATAGGCCAATGTCACTGCGATTGCCTTCATCTGTTTAATATTTTTCAGCATCACCATAAAAATAGAATTAACTTGGCTATTTTCTTAAGAAAAATTTAAAAAAAAAAATACCAACATAATATTACCTGCTTGAGAGAAGATTTTGAAGCCAAAGGACAAAGTGGACAACTCCAATCTTGAACAGAAATAGAAGCTAATATTACTGCTGAAATTGCATGAACTGTTGAAACCAAACGGTTGCAGAAATCAAAAGAACGATTTGGAAATATTTTTCTTGTTAATAAAAATAATGTTGTCCATGATACAACTCCAAATACCACTAAATTTATGATAGAGTCATTCATCTAGTAGCAAATTCCCAGAACAGCAAAAAAGTTTTTCTTAGAATAAAAATAAATAAAATAAGAAACAGATATATGAGATTCCTGTTAAGAAAAGAAAAAAAAATGTTGGCCAGTAGTATTAGTAACTCAATTCAAGAATTTCACTAACAATATTAGCACAAAATCTTAGAGCAGTATACTTAATTGTAGAAAACATGCTTAAACTTTACACAATTAATCTTGGTAAATTAACCATTTAAAAATATTAAAAAAGAATTAAGAAACGGTTCGGTAGATCATATTAATTACGTACAAATCTCGACGCATATTCTTTAGAATTCATTCTAGTTCTACACCTCGAAAAGAAAAAGATTTGCATTTGTTAGAATGTAACATTTGAGTACTGGTGAAGTAATGTATAGTAGATTGTGCTTTACCAATGATTCCATTAAATTAATAAGTAAACCAGATTTCAATCATAGTTTCAGGAAGATGTATGTGAGAAATAAGTTAAACTAATTTCAAATTCAACTTCATAGTTCACGGAAGATGCATGTGAGAATCAAAAAAATATTAAAGTTGATCGATAATAATATTTTATATTTCGAATACGGATATCAAAAGGAAATCGTAAACATTTTCTCTGTTTCAGTTGGGTACTGAACAGCTTTCACCACTGGTCCCGTGCTGCCGTCATATTTTTTTTCTTTTTTCTTTTTTGGGCACTAGGCAAACCCTGCACGACAAGCTCAAACCCAGAAGGCATTGAGGGTGGATCGATCCTAGGTCATCACTATGTATAACCCGTATAACCCCCTCCAAACCAACCGGGCTGTCATGTTGTTTTGCTTACTCTGCTCTCTTATCTGTTTTTCTTTTTTGTTTTCTCCTTGCTCTTATCTTTTATTTTTTATTGTACTATTTTGTTTAATTAAGAAATGGCAAATTAGTCATATAAATTATAAAAAAATTAATAGTAATAAATAGGTTAACTAAACAAATTATTAGAAAAGAAAAAAACTTGGTTATATTTTAAAGGGTTGGACCATGATCTAATACTTAGCTCATCTTCACCTAACATATTTCAGCCCAAGAAATATTGACCCACCCATTTATTGATGCAGTTCATTTTAGAGAAATTTTCAGAAACCACTATTGTTTAGTGGTTATTAGCTTGCTATAGCTACCATTTACTAAATTACTTCATATAGCTATGTTTTAACTTGTTATAGGGTGTATTCGATGAATTTAAGCTAACGTATTCATGAATACAATAGGAAAAGTCGATGAAAAAAAGGGAATTACAGGTAGATTGTATTCATATGTATTCGCGAGCTATATTCGTGAATACAGTAACGGAAATCTGCGGAAAAAAAGGTCTTCAGATGTTTAAACACGGTAAATAAATCAATTAACGGGATAGAATCCTAATATAACTCAACAAACTCAACTATAATATGCAAAATTTGTATTTCCAGTTATAGAAAAGATTCTCAGCTGAAAAACACCCCAACAACAGAGCAATCTTCAGAGATTCAGTCCACCCTTTCTTTTTTAATGGTATCTTTTCTAAAATACTTTTTAGTGGTATCTTTACAAATAGATTTATATATTGAAATTATATAATTACGTTGAATACAGTTAAATACATAAAGTATAGCAGGTCATCTATAGTGCAAAATCATATGAATACATACTGCAAATACATTTGAATACATATAAACATCTGAATACATAAATTATATTAATTAAAAAAATATATGAATATATTCTACAATACATTGAATACATACTGCTGAATATATACTGTTGCACAAAATAGTGAAACAAAGTGAAGCTTTGAAATAATATAATTACATTGAATACAGTTAAATATAGTGAATATATTAAAAAAGTAGAAAAAACTAAAGACAGTGAATACAATGAAATACATGAAAATACAGCGAGATACATTGAAATACAATGAAAATAAAGGTAATGGACTCTTCAAGTTCCTCAGCCCCAAACTCCGTCCCCAATCCACCGATATCCAGGCCGCCACCATGTGTTGCGTCGCCGCTGGTACCGGCACCCTCTGGGTCGTCCAGGTAGTGAATCTCTCATTTCTGCGTTGAAAATTTTGAGATCTGCACTTGTATTTCTCCTTTATCTTTTTTTTTTCCAGATCTTTATTTCTCTTTGCCGCAACTCTTTGGAGCAAAAAGTTGAAAATTGAGAGAAACAATGGAGATGAACCAGTGGAAAATCGTGGATAGAGATAATGGGGAAGAGAATGGCGTTGTGACTGAGAGAAATTGGAGAGAGAGATCGTGGAGAGAGAAGTTTACCTCCTATACGGTAATTTTGTGAGAGGAAAAAAAAAAGAAAGGAGAGAGAAAAATAATACACAGCGTATTTAATGGCTTAAATGTAGGAAGTGGACACAAATATATATTTTGCTACAAAAATTAAAAGGTAGCTATAGGAGATAATTTTTTAAAAGGATATTTATTTATAATAAATAAGATGTCAACCTTTGCTATATAAGGTAAAATTGCATTCATATTTTACTCCTATCAAATCCACTTATTTGACATTCCAGCTTCAATGCTTTATCATTATTATTTCATTGCTAACTGTTGTGTTTGATCCAGTTGGCGTGCACCTTTCCAAGTCGTAGACAGATCGAAATAATATTATTCATGGCAATGTAAGGGAAAGGGATGAATTTGTTTCTCCTCAAAAGTTATGAATGTTTGATACAAAAGAATTTGATTTGCTCTATGGACTATGATACAAATTATCAGCAAATTACATATTTGAAGGAACAGTTTTAGCTTTAGTTCTCCTGGAGAATTTATACATGATCATCCTGGCAATTTTATAGAACCAAAAAGCACTAACTAGCTGCAGTCCGAATGCCATGGCCTGAAAAATCATATAAACATTATGTCACCAATTTGTTATTTTAAAATCAGCTTTTGTTTTAAGGGATATTGTGTATTACATAATTATTAAAGCACATATAATTACCTTAATGAGGACTGGATTATCAGCAGAAAGAGTCACATAGGTTAGATATGGCCCTCCTATCATCCTAGCACAGCTGAAAATAACTGCAAATAAAACCTGCAAATTAAAGCATAACCATGGTTTAGTGGCAGGGGAAAAAGGTGGCCCTATGCACAAGGCATCTCGCGTTCATGTAGGGTCCGGGAAAGGGCCGCACCCCAAAAAGTATAATATAAACAATCTATCCTAATGTAAGTATAGTGGCTGCTTCCACGGTTCGAACCCGTCACCGATAAATAACCATGGCTTAGTGATTACATACATATTGGGTTGTCATTGCACTGATAATATTATTCTTTACAATTACAAATTTTAAGCTTTCCCATAGTATTTTCTCTAACAAAAAAATTTCAACTGCAACTTAAGTTTTCTACTACTATATATCATTTTAAATCCATAATCTAGTTCAAAAAAATTTCTTTATAGTGTAACTAAAATGGATAAATTAGAACTTGAGAAGCTAATATCAGCTGCAAGATCTAAATTGGTGTCTTATAAGTTAATAACTTAAAAACTCTGTTTCACTAAACTAATAGTATCATATAAAATGAATCAAGAAAATAATATTTTTATTTAAATTGGAAAGAGAATAAATTAGAATTTGAGAAGCTAACATCAGCAGCAAGATTAAGGTCAGTGTCTTTGTATCCAAGCTCTTTGAGAATCTCCCTCAAGTGTAGGAATGGACTGGAAATCTCTGTTAACCACAATGCTGCTACCATTTCTGAACCACACTGCATATTACAAAACTTTTCATAGTTAAAAGTGAGGATTTAAACATTTTGTATTTTAATAGGCCAAAAAAAGGATCTTATTTTAAAAAAAAAAAAAGAAAAAAAAAGAGGATTTTACTTACCCTTTGATAGTAAAGCCCAGCTCCAAGTCCAACAGCACTAACCAAATGATGAATTAAGTTATCAATCTTCACTTGTTTGTCAAATAGACAGCATACAAAATCATAAATAAGATAGGCTACACTCAGTGCTATTGCCCTCATCTGTTAAGTTTTTTGAAACATCACCATTAGAGCAAAACTTGAAAATATTATCAAGAAAAAAAAAATCCAATACAAAATACCTGTTTGGTAGTAGATCTTGAAGCCAAAGGACTAATAGGGCAACTCCAATCTTGAACAGAAAGTGAAGCTAAAGTTACTGCTAAAATTGCATGAACTGTTGAAACTAAACGGTTGCAAAAATCAAAAGAACGATTTGGAAACAATTTTCTTGTTAATAAAAATAATGTTGTCCATGATACAACTCCAAATACTATCAAATTTATGATTGACTCATCCATCTGGCAGAAAATTCTCCGAACCGCAAAAAAGGTTTTTTACATTAATAAAATAAGATTTCGGATAAGAAAAGAACAAGACGTCGTCCGCCAGTAGTATTAATAACTTAATTCAAAGTTTCATTAAAATGTAATTGGGCAGGTAGCTGACGGTTCAAATTCATTGCATTATTTTTCTAAAATCTAATAGCTAGACGGTTAACCTACCTCCAGCTAAGATTATGTGCTTTTAATTTCTTTCTCGGAAATTTTTGGCAACCTAATTACTACTCCCTATGTTTCAATTTAAATGATGCTCTTTGATTTGGCACAAAGTTTAAGAGAGAAAAAAAACTTTTAAAATATGTGGTGCTACAAGTTTAAGGAGCAAAAACTTGTGTGACCATGATATTTATGTAGCTATAAAAGCTCATTAATGGTCTGTTTGGAAAGCCACCTGGTAATTGGAATTGGTGTAATTACTAGGGTAGTAATTACACAGCCTAGTAATTACACTGTATTGTAATTACAATGACCTGTTTGTTTGTCATAATGTAATTAGAGTGTAATTACACGTGTAATGTTTGGTTGCACAAGTGTAATAACACAATTTGAATAAATTTTAAATATAAAATTAATTATCAAAAATTAAAGTTAAGGTTTAACAAATATATGCATTTATAAATAATATTAAATTTGTTGCCTCTTGAAAATATATTAGATACTTATCATATATTTATAACTAATATTCTAAAAATAATTGATATATTTTTTTCTAATTAATAATATTTTACATTAATGTAAGAACATCATGGATTGCAAGCTTGATAAAATAATTAATATTAATAAATATATTATCATAACATTACTCAAATATTTTACGAAAAATAATCTATCAACTTTAACTGAAAAATGAATGGCATGCGATCTGGATTAATAAGTGAATACTACTAATTAAAGCAAATAAAATAAAAGCGAAAATATAACATAAAATCCAAAATCCAAATTTTCTTAACGTAATACTCTTATGTAAAATTACAACATAACATAAAATAAGTTTCAATATATAAGTAAATATAATTCAAAAGAAAAGGAAAACATAAGTTTATAACCTCATTCAACAATGAGATCATATTTTAATGACATCACTCATTATATGCTAAGTTTATTAATGATTCATTATTTCTAATATTAGGAGGAGTAGTTCCAAAACTAGAATAATAGCACAATTATACTAAATGAAGAAGAAAAAATATGAGCAACTACATGGAATCACAAAAATAAATGTTGAAAATGAGAATATTACTTAAATACTAAAAAGTAATATATCATTTTAACATAGTTAAGTTTGCATATAACCTCATGCAATAATAAAGTTCAACTTTAATGACATCATTCATTATAAGTCATGTTTGTGGATGACTTATTCTTTTTAAGATTACGGGGTATAACTTTTTAGGAAAATTAGAATAATAGCATAGCTAAATCTAATAAAGAAAATAAAAATAAAAATAATTAATAAAGAAATAAAATATGAAAAATTATATAGAAACACATGAAATAAAGGTTGGGAAATGAGAAATAAGGAAATAAAAAATAAATAATGTAAAAAATAATATTTGAAAAAAAAAGAATTTAAAAACTTTAAAAAATTAAAAAGAAAAAAAGAATAGAAACCAAAAAGTAAATTAAAAAGAAAAGATATTCAAAAATAACCTGGTAATTACACCATGTAATTACCAGCAATTCTCAGCTCCTCCTTGAGAATTGTAGAGCATAGTTGCACCCCCTCAATTACACCCAATTACATGCTGACCAAGTAATTACTTGGTCAGCCAAACATGCCAAAACTGTGTAATTACACTCAATTACACCCAAATCCAATTACAGGGTGGTTTTCCAAACAGGCTTTAAGGATAAAGTGGATAAAATAAAAAGTTGAAATCAAAATTGTTTCTAAATATGAAAATGTGTCATTCTTTTTTAATAGAGTGATAAAGAAAGTGTCACATTTAAATTGAAACGGATAGAATATTAAGTTCAGCGTTGAGAATAAACTTTTTTATTGTTCAACGAGTTTGCTGGTTTTTTCCTTGTACTGTCTTATCTATGCTCATGGGCAATGGATCAACAGCTTCAAGTTTATAACTTTTAATAATAAAGTGACAATATCAGGTCTCTAAAATTAGGCCTTTGTCTTTTGTAATGTTGCTTCGTTGTATTTATAATGTGGGTCGTCGCATATTTGCTCTAATTTCGTATGTCCAATGCAGGAAAATGACCAAGGAAGGGGGATTACATTGGATACAGGCTAGCAAAGTTCCTAATAAGATCAAATACTTCTTTTGGCTTATGACACACGACAGACTCCCCACTAGCAAGCACCTTCATCACAGAGGTGTAATCTTGAGCCCTGTTTGCTTCTTATGCAACACAGAAGAGAAATCCATTGAGCATATGTCTTCATCAGGTGTTATAATGCTAAGCAGTTCTATGATAACCTTTCACAATTAAGCCAGAACAACATTAATATACAGGCTATTGACAATGGCCAAACTAAGTGGGAATGCATCACTAACAGAATGCAGAGTCACAACTTCAATAGCCTACTTAGGTGGGGGCAATTGATCCCTTTCTGCCTCTGAAAAATCTGGATAACTAGGAATAACAATTGTTTCAATAACAAAAAAGGGACCCTGTTTCATACAAAAATGCCATAGGCAAAGCCATAGAGTACGTTCATGTAGCAAGAGGATGTCAGGGAAAACCTGACTTGGTCATTCAGATCAAATGACACCTGCCCCTTAAAAGGGACCACTAGAAACTCAACACTGATGGTGTAACCCTTCAAAATGGACTGGTGGAAGGCCTGGGCGGGGTTATCAGGAATAGTAGGGGAGACTGGGTAATGGGCTTCTTGGAAAAAATAACATGTACTAACATACTACACTGTGAACTAATACCATTGAAAAAAGAGGAAGACTAGCATTAATATATTCATAATGCTGCTCTGACCTCTCTCTCCTTCCGTTTCAATTTACGTGAACCTGTTTGACTGAGCACGGAGTTTAAGAAAAAAATGAAGATTTTCGAAATTTGTGGTCCTAAACAAGTCCAAATGGGACCCAGAGCATTTGTGTGGTCATAAAAGCTTCTTATTAAGGGTATAGCTGTAAGTTTAAGCTAAATTGTTACCAAATTTAGAAAAGATTCATTCTTTTTGGAACGGACCAAAAAGGAAATAGGTTCACATAAACTGGAACAGAGGGAATAATATGTAATCTAAAGACCCTCCCCCTATTCACCCACCTGCCCCACCTGACCCAACCCACAACACTTCGACAACACACCTACCTACACCTATTAACACCAACTTTCCACCTACAAACCACCTCACAAACGCAAATCCCAATCAAACAAGCCAGAAAAATGCCGGCTCAACCCCTGCTACGAAGGCCACCGGAATTAGAATTAACGCCAGCAAAGAGATCAATAATAACCCGCACAGATCTTCCGCCTCAAATATCATCCCGACTTAACCAAAAATCTCCTCAAATTTTCATCGGCCACCTCGCCGGAATGACCAGCAGTCCGATAACAGTATTTCTGCACATCAGACACATCATCAACATACTAATACACATCTAAATAGGACTACACCGGCCAAAAATATTTTACATACCAACATGCAAGCAGAAAAAATCCCACTTCCGGGAAACAGAGTGCAAGACTCCTCAGGTAACAAAAGAGGTGAACAGAGTTTCTCGAAACCATCATTTTCTGCAACCGTTTAGTTGAAACTATCATTAATAAACAATGGAGGCCGACCAATCGAAATTCGGCATGGCACTTATCTGGGAAACCAGCAGTTTTCTTTCTGCAGAGGATTACTTCGTCAATCTAGCAAAAGAATGCAAATTCACGCTAATAGGTAAGTTCTACAGAGGGAAACCTACAATGGAGGAGATTAGGAAGGTTTTCATTCGTCGATTTCAATTAATCGTCTCAGTTAAGATTGTGTGTTTTGATCCTAAGCATGTATATATCGATCTCTCAAATGAAATCGATTATAATCACATCCGTTTTAAGGAATATGTTAATATTGATGATGCACCTATGAAAATCATGAAATGGATTGCGGACTTTAAGCCTGAGGAAGAACTCTCTATTGTCCCAGTTTGGAATTTAATCCATCAACTAACTTGGCACCTTTTTCAAAAATGGTTAGCGATGTCGGAGTTGCGGTGGCCCCTGACCAAGCTACATACTCCAAATCCTGGGGAAATGTGGTCAAAGTGAAGGTCGAAATTGACTTGTTAAAACCAAAAAACTAGATCAAATATGGCTTGGTTTCAAAAGACTCGATGGTTCATATAATGGCAAATGGCTGGATATTGAATATTAAAAAGTTCCAAGCTATTGCTTATATTGTAAAATGCAGGGACATCTTGAAAGTCAATGTAGGAACAGGATGACAGATGAGAGGATCAAAGCTCAAAGAGAGGAACAATCCAAAAATGAGAAGGACAAGGTAAGCGAGAAGATGTATGAAACGGAGAACAAAGATGAAGATGGGTTCCAAACTGTGAATAAAAGAGGGTCAAAGCCTAGAACAATACAACTAAATAATCAACATAACAAGGAAGAGCTTCAAAATAAGCAGCCTTAAAATGTAACAAAAGCGAAAGAAAAACTTGTCAAGAAAATACAATACAGAGGAGGTAAGAAGGGTAATAGTGCACAAGTGTGTGTAGAAAATCAAAATTCTAGGAGAAATAAAGGGATCACTATTATTGAACCTACCACTGTCCACCAATTGCCAATGATGAGGAGAGTGGTAAAGAAAAAGGTAAAATAGATGATATCAATTAAGAAGTCCAATGGGAGCATGGTGAGGGAATCAAAATTAACACTACAGAAGTTCATCCCCAAACAAAGAAGAGGAGTAAGAAGAAGAAACAAGAAAATAAATATAAAAATGATGATAACTTGAGGTAAGAAGCTGACAACTTTCGTCATAGGGTTCAGGGTACTAGGAGTGATACAAATGAAGGTCAATTGTATAAGTGTGGATAATCATACTGACACACAACCACATAGTAATGAAGCAGCCCACGACATTGATCCTGGGGAGGTTCATAACAATTATTTGAAACTCATCAGTGCACAAGTTTGGAGGAGGACCAAGGTAGTCACTTCAAACATGGAATTAAATATGGGC